TACATAACTTATTAACATGTATTTATTGAATTTTGAATGTTATGGAATTTTAAGTACATACTATGGGTAAAATATTGTTCCCAGTGTTATAGGAGACAAAAGGGTAAAATAGACATTGATCTTGCCCTCAATGTATTTACAGTCCAGTACAGGGGATATAATATACATGTAAGTCTATAACAAAATGTCGAAAGCTTAAAGTGTTGTAAGAGAGGATCAGATAGAATGTTATGGAAGTTTGGAGGAAGAAGGGACCTCTTAGGACTGGGGCCAGTGAGGTTGAGGTGAGGAGAGGGAGCATCAGGCAAAGTTTTATGGACATGATTGCTCTTGACATGAGCCTTAAAAGATGTGTTGTATTTGGGCACAAAGACATAAAATGAAGACGGTACACTCAGAAGCAATGATGTAATGACATGCATGACATGGAGGCAGGAAACTGAGGATTACATATAAGAAACTGTTGATAGTTGACTTTCACTAGATCATAGTGTGGCATTAGAAAGGGAATTGTAAGAGTTAAGGTTGGAAAGTCATGTTGGATACAGATCCTGGTTGGGAGGCAGAGGTTGTGGGGAGAATTAAATACTAGGCTGTGGAGTTGGGTTTTGTTCAGGAGCAAATGGGGAGCCACAGAGGTTTGTGAATAAGGGAGTTCAGGCATACTTCAGTCAGGTAGAAACTATACAGGGTAGGTCGGCAGGAAGTAGGGAGAACTAGAAACAAGAAATCTATGTGTGTTCTATTTGAGTTGGTCAGAAGAAAGGAAATGAGATTCAAAATCCAGACCTTACTTTAGTTGATAAAGAGAAGTAGGCCGGGCATTGTTGTTCATGCCTGTAATCCCAGCACTTTGGGAGGCCAAGGTGGGCAGATCATCTGAGATCAGGAGTTTAAGACTGGCCTGGCCAACATGGTGAAAACCCATCTCTACTAAAAATAAAAAAAATTAGCTGGGTGTGGTGGCATGTACCTGTAATCCTTGCTACTCAGGAGGCTGGGACAGGAGAATTGCTTGAACCCAAGAGGTGGAGGTTGCAGTGATCACACCACTGCATTCCAGCCTGGGTGACAGAGCAAATTAACTGTTTCAAAATAGAAAAGAACATCATACACAGAAATATGGAAAGTAAGGCAAATGGAGGAAAATGTGTAGCTTTACAAGAATTTAAAGAAATGCAAGTTAAGGTTAGGTACGTGGCTCACACATGTAATTCAGCACTTTGGGAGGCTGAGACAGGAGGATTGTTTGGGCCCAGGAATTCAAGACCAACCTGGGTAACAAAGTAAGACCCCATTTCTCAAAAAATGAAAATAAATGCAGGTTAGAACCTTAAGTCATGATTTTATATCTATGTAACTAGTTAGTATTGTTTATATGAGAAAATACAAAGTCAGTGAGACTTGAAGGGAACTGGACACATTATATATCAGAGTAATTTAAACTGTCAACAACAGTCTGGCAAAAAAAAAAAACAAAAAAAAAAAAAAAACAAGATCTTTTCATCTAAGTATTAATCTTATCCTTGTTCTACAGGGTGAAAACTGAGGCTCAGAGAGGGTAAATAACTTGCCCAAAATCTGGTAAGTGGTAGAGTCAGTGGTGCAGGGGAAGCTGGCCTGCACTGGATTGAGAGAGCTGATTGTTACATTTTCAGGAATTGTGCAAGCCATTACTAAAAATTAAAACTATACAAACGTGTAATTAAATTATATTAAAGACAAAGATAATAACTACTCAAAACTCATCACTTTCTAATTATTTTTCTACAGTTTACTGTTGTGTAAGCTTATGAGGTTATTCATGTCTGCTGTTATGTGTATGGTGGAAATTTTATATAATGATGTGCTCTTGTACATCTTTTCCCAAATCCTTGTTCAGTGACATCCTTTTGGTAACTTTAAATCAGCCATGTTGAGAATTTTTACATTACAGGCAAATACTACAAATCAGGTCTTAATTTATTATTTAATCTAGACTAAGGATTAGCAAGCTATGGTCTGTGGGCCAAGTCCATCTCACCTTCTTTTTAAAATTTAAGTTTTATCAAAACACGCCCATGCTCATTTGTTTAGTATCACCTGTGACTGCTTTCCTATGAAAATGGTAGAGTTTAGTAATTGCAACAGAGACTACGTAAACCACAAAACCCATAATATGTACCACCTTGTCTTTTACAGGAAAAGTTTGCTAACCCTTTCTCTTACTCCTCATTAAGGTGAGAAAAAAAATATTAACCAACATTCATTGTGAAACTACACTTGGAGAGCCAGTTCTTTCTTCTTCTTCTTTTTTTTTTTTTTTAGAGACAGGGTCTCACTCTGTCCCCCAGGCTGGAGTACAGTGACACTATCATGGCTCACTGCAACCTTAACCTCCTGGGATCAAGTGATCCTCCCACATCGCCCTCCTGGAGTAGCTGGGACTACAGGCATGCACCACCACGCCCTGATAATTTTTTAAAATTTTTGTAGAGGCAGGTCTCACTATGTTGCTCAGGCCGGTCTTGAATTCCTGGGCTCAAGTGATCCTCTCACCTCAGCCTCCCAAAGTGCTGGGATTACAGACATGAGCCATTAGCCCAGTGGAGAGTCAATTCTTAAACATTTACTAGCATACCACTGTTCAAATATAGACCCAAGCAGTGTGACTCACATGATTAACGACCACACTGCTAAGCAAAATATGAAGTATCATGGAAACATGAAAAACCTACAAAGAGTTTACTGCCTATTCAGTATATATATATATGTATATGCATATATATGAAATGATAATATAAAAATTTTTAGAGATAAGCAAATTGTGAAGAAAACAACTAAAAATTTTAAGAAGTTAGGCCAGGTGTGGTTGCTCACACCTGTAATCCCAGCACTATGGGAGGCCAAGGCGGGTGGATCATGAGGTCAGGAGATCAAGACCGTCCTGGCTAACACATTGAAACCTTGTCTGTACTGAAATTACAAAAAATTAGCTGGGCATGGTGGCATGCACCTGTAGTCTCAGCCACTTGGGAGGCTGAGGCAGGAGATTGCAATGAGCTGAGATCGTGCCACTGCACTACAGCCTGGGAGACGGAGTGAGACGCTGTCTCAAAAAAAAAATCTAAGAAGTCACTGAAGGCCAGGTGTGGTGGCTCACGCCTGTAATCCCAGCACTTTGGGAGGCCGAGGTCGGGGGATCACGAGGTCAAGAGATTGAGACCATCCTGGCCAACATGGTGAAACCCTGTCTCTACTAAAAATACAAAAATTAGCCAGGCGTGGTGGCACGTGCCTGTGGTCCTAACTACTCGGGAGGCCAAGGCAGAAGAATTGCTTGAACCCAGAAGGCGGAGGTTGCAGTGAGCCGAGATTGTGCCACTGCACTCCAGCCTGGAGACAGAGCAAGACTCCGTCTCCAAAAAAAAAAAGTCACTGAAATTACTTTGAAAAATAAAGAGAAGAAAACAAACAAAAATAATCTTTTGTTTGGAAACTGCTCTGGATCATCTCCATACATAGTCATGTGTTACTTAACAACAGGGATACATTCTGAGAAATGCATCATTAGCCAGTTCATAATTATTCGAACATCTTAGAGCATACTTATGCAAATCTAGAGGTATAGCCCATGACACATCTAGGGTATACAGTGGGTCCTGTTACTCTTAGGCTACAAACTTGTTCAGCATGTTTCTGTACTTAATACTGTAGGCAATTGTAGCACAATGGTATTTGTGTATCTAAACATATCTAAACATAGAAAAGGTACAGTAAAAGTACAGTATTATAATCTTACAGGACCACCATTGTGTAATGATATACACCATTGATATACACGATTATATACCGTTATATACTGTAGTCCATCATTGATTGAAACATCGTTATGTGGCTCATGACCATATTCCCTTTAGAAGCTATCCAATATCCTCTTCTCAGCTTTTAGCGTATGACTTCTGCTCTGCACTCTTTTATAAATACCCACTCTTTTCCAGACCTTGGAACATTGCCTCCTTCCATCTGATCTATTTTACCCAAACTGTTTTCTTTGACATTACTTCTGGGACCAGATCCATGAACAAATTCAAAGATTGTTCTCATTCCTCTTTCCTTGACCCCTGTTCACATAGCACTGTGGACTGTACCTTCTTGATTCCTGAGACTTTTCTCTTTTGACTTCCAAGACATTGTCCTTTTCTACTTTCTTTATAATCCTTATAAAAGGTCCTTCTGTGTTTTCTCCCAGGTTTCCCTTCCCCTCTACCATTCCCAAATCTGAGTATTCCAGAAGAGTTATTTGTTTTAATGATACAGTAAATTAATTTTTTTTTTTTTTTTGAGACAGAGTATCACTCTCTCACCCAGGCTAGAGTGCAGTGATGTGATCTCAGCTCACTGCAACCTCGACCTCCTGGGTTCAAGTGTTTCTCCTGCCTTAGCCTCCTGAGTAGCTGGGATTACAGACACACATTACCATGCCTGGGTAATTTTTCTGTTTTTAGTAAAGATGGGGTTTCACCATGTTGATCAGGCTGGTCTTGAAGTCCTGACCTCATGATGTGCCCCCCTTGGCCTCCCAAAGTGCTAGGATTACAGGCGTGGCACCCAGCCGATAAATTAATTTCTAAGCCTCAATTTTCTAACTTGAAGAAAGGGATTAAAATGAATACCTACCTATTGTTATGAAAATAAATGTGTTACATAAAGCAATCTGCAAAATAGTAAGTATATACTAGAAAAACTGTTAGCCATTATTATCACTACTATTGTTATTTTTGTTTTCAGTCCAACCAACACTGGTATTACTGAACTCCTGTTGTTTATGGCACAGGTTTAGTAAAAATTAATTACTATATGTATATATAGTTATATATATATATAATTTATTTATATATATATATATATATATGCACACATGGTAAGGTGTAGTGGTTGTAACAAGACCACAAGCTGCCTGAAGGGGCAGCCCACCCTAGGCCCTTTCCTAACTGAACTAGATTTCGAAACACCAATACCTCTGGTGAGTGGGAGGGCCCAGTCCATCCCCTAGGCTGTGTCCTTGTGCATCAGTCCTCTTGCTTCCCTCAGGCTCTACTTCTGTTTCCTATAAGCACAGGCAGAGTTGAGATCAGTCATGGGGCCCTGCCAGGGATGATGGGGATTGAGAGCAGCCAAAGACCCTACAGGGGGCCATGCAGCAGCCCACAGCTCTGCAAAGAGAAACTAAACTGGAATTACCATGAGCTCCAGCCCCGGGTTCTCTGTGCCAGTCTCCACTGTGGACAGAGCAATGGACTCTCTTCCACTTGCTTTCTCCATCTCTTGTTCTCCTCAACTGAAAAACAAATTAAGGGCCAAGCCTGAAAGATTGGTCATTCTGTCCTGTGGGGATGGGGAGAAATTTTAGGACCAGTTACCCCTGGAAAACACAAAACTAAAAGTCTTTGAAAGCTTAGTTGATTTCTTTAAGAACTGAGAATTGAGAAGATTGGATACATAATTTTGATTTAATAAATAATGAAAAATAAAATCCTATTTCCTCACGTGAATAGCTAAAGAAGGGGAAATAAGACAGGAGAAGAAAAATGAAAGGCAGGGGAATTGAAATGAATCAGTTCCCCACCCAGGGCCCCAGGATCTGGGCTATAAAGGTTCCTAGTTGGACCCTCAAAGAGTCATAAGGTAACTCCTTTTAGCCCTGGGGAGGCCCCACTGAGCGTGCTGAGTAAAAAGGAAACAGGGAGAAGGGAGTCGGGAAGAGCCAGACCCTAAAATATTGCTGAACAGACAAAGATTAATAGGCCTTCAAGTTCCTGACTTTAATGGAGCATAAGAATTGTTTTTTATGCCCCAGAGAGAACTCCTTATCAGTTAAATTAAGGAAACTTATATTTAAAATAATTAGTATGAATGTAAATGATCCCAAATAAAGTTTTTAAACAAAATAAGCAAACATTCGGGCCACAGAATAAATAGACATTCACAATTAGAGTATAAGTTCATTCTGAGATACTTCTTTACTTTGCAGAAAATTCCTTTCCCTGTAGAATTGCTTTTAAAAATGTGATCTGTTTAAGCATTTAAAGTATAATTTCATTCAACTTTTATTGCGTAAATTAGGGCCTTCCTGACTAGGTACAGAACTATCTGCATTTAGTTTAAATATGATCTCTTTAAAAATTTGGAAATTAGGCACCTGCCCTCCCCAAACACCTTTGCTTACCCCACCTTGTGGAATTGATTCCCTTTGGCTCCTCAGTGAAGGACTGAAAGAGAAGCTCAGCTGCCAGGGAGGAGGGACAGCTTGGGTGGGGCATGGGGGCTTTCCGGCCATTGGTTAGTTTTATGTGTTGGGCCCTCCTTCGCTGAGCCTGCCCTCACTGTAGAGGAAGACTACACCTCTCAAGTTAAATATTATATGTTTTAAAGACTATTTTGCAGGACTAAGACTTCTGCAGAGGTGGCGCCCGCCTGTAATCCCAACACTTCGGGAGGCTGAGGCGGGTGGATCGCTTGAGCCCAGGAGTCTGAGACCAGCCTGTGTAACACAGCGAAACCCTGTCTCTACAACAAATACAAAAATTAGCTGGGTGTGGTGGTCCCAGCTACTCGGAAGGCAAAAGTGGAAGGATCCCTTAAGCCTGGGGAGGTGGAGGTTGCAGTGAGCTGTGATCGCACCACTGCACTCCAGCCTGGGCAACAGAGTGAGACCCTGTTAAAAAACAAAAGCAAAGAATTCTGCAGGAACTTCTAGCAGGCACATCCCTGGAAGCATTACCTACCACTGGACTAGGCACTGGGTAGCCTGTAACATAAAGTAAGAGATGTGTCTGCACTCAGAAAACTTATTATCATTTTGTGCTGGAAAGACATGTCCTAGAATACAATGGAAAGCATGACTCTACATGATTCAATCCTAAATGACTGCTAGGAATTCTTTTAGTAATCCGTTCAACAAATATTTATTGAGTAATCACTATTAGCCAGGCACTGTTTTCGGTGCTGAGGAGACAAAAATGGGTGAGACAAGGTCTCTCCCATCAAAAAACGAACAGATCAGTGAGGAAGGACAGATGTGTCAAGAAAGGCTTTGCATAGGCCAAGCACAGTGGCTCATACCTGTAATCTTAGCACACTAGGAGGCCAAGGTAGGTGGATCATTTGAGGTGGGGCGTTTGAGACCAGCCTGGCCAACATGGTGAAACCCTGTCTCTACTAAAAATACAAAAATTATCCAGGCATGGTGATGCAGGCCTGTAATCTCAGCTACTCAGGAGGCTGAGGCAGGAGAATCATCTGATCCCAGGAGGCAGAGGTTGCAGTGAGCCGAGATCACACCACTGCACTCCAGCCTGGGTGAGCGAGACTCTGTCTCAAAAAAAGAGAGAGAGGAGAGAAAGGCTTTGCAGAGCTGGTAACACTTGTCCTGGCCTGGAAAGAAAGGAAGAAAGAAGGCAAGCTTTCTATGACTCCCTCTAGATAAAACTTAGGATCCCTCCCTGAACTCTGATTATACAATGTTGCTAAATCCTACATAGCACATACCATCTCCTGCTAGACTGTGATATCCTCAAGAACAAGATCTTTTTTTTTTTTTTCTTAAGCAAGATCTTGCTTTGTCACCCAGACTAGAGTGCAACGTTAGGATCATGGGTCATTTCAGCTTCTAACTTCTGGGCTCAGGTGATCCTGCTACCTCAGCCTTCTGAGTATCTGGAACCACACCCATGTACCACCACACCTGGCTAAGTTGTTGTTTTATTTTGTTTTGTTTTCTTGTGGAGATGGGGGTCTCAATATGTTGCCCAGTCTGGTCTCAAACTCCTGTGCTCAAGCTATTCTCCTGTCTACTGTGAAAGTACTGGAATTACAGGTGTGAGCCACTGCTCCTAGCCAGGTTCTCCATCTTGCTTTTCACTGTATCCCCAGGCTCAACACCCACCACAATATTAGACAATGAATAAATATTTGTAAAATAAGTTAAAACAGCCAGGTGTCATGGCTCAAGCCTGTAATTCCAGTACTTTGAGAGACCAAGGCGGGTGGATCATGAGGTCAGGAGTTCGAGACTAGCCTGACCAACATAGTGAAACCTCATCTCTACTTAAAATTCAAACATTAGTTGGGCATGGTGGTGCACACCTGTAATCCCAGCTACTCTGGAGACCGAGGCAGGGGAATCACTTGAACCCAGGAGGCAGAGGTTGCAGTGAGCTGAGATCACGCTACTGCCCTCCAGCCTGGGCGAAAGGCAAGACTCCGTCTCAAAGTACATAAATAAGTGAACACAACATCAGCACCACAGAATCTGGCTTAGATTATTTGGTATGTAAATAAGGACTCCAATCACCAAAATAAGGACACATATTTCTATTTTCCCAGTTCTGTGTGTGTATGTGTTTGCACATGTATACACGATCCCTCACAGAGCAGATGTGTGTTGTATTCCGGATCTAGAGAAACTCACTTCACCTCTCTGGGCCTCCCACCAGTATTTCCCACCCTAATCCTATCTCATAAGATTATCATGAAAATTAAGTAATTTAATACAGAAGAAAAAACTTAGAAACTAGTACTATATGACCTTGCAGTTGCAGGGCACTGTAAGATCTTATATTAATTCAGGAAAATAAGACACCAGTGTTGAAAGTAAATCTGCTTACAGATATTTTCAAGCTATTGTCCTGTCTCTCAATATGACCGTGAAGTGTCTCTTGCTCGTTCTATCTTATACATATGTATCTTTTTGTATATTTTTACTTATATATATCTGTAAATCTTATATATATAAGATTTATGTATACATAAGATTTATGTATAAGATAGAACATATACAAAAAATATAAGATTACAAAAAGATACGTATCACATCTTTTTTCTTTTTACCTTATTTGTGTATATATGTATGTATTTATTTTAGAGACAGGGTCTCGCTCTGTCATCCAAGCTGGAGTTCAGTGGTGAGATCATACATAGCTCACTGCAGCCTGAAACTCCTGAGTTCAAGTGGTCGTCCTGCCTCAGCCTCCTAAGTAGCTAGGACTATAGGTGTGTACCACCACGTCCAGCTAATTTTTATATTTTTATTTGGTAGAGCCAGGGGTCTCACTGTATTGCCTAGGCTGGTTTCGACCTCGTGGCCTCAAGCAATCTTCCCACTTTGGCTTCCCAGATTGTTGGGATACAGGCTTCAGCCACCACACCCCAACAGTTTTTACCTTAAATAATTGCCACTTCTGGGGTTATGTCCAAGCATAATGATAGGCACAGATCCTAGTATTCTGTTCAGGTGGAATGATGCCAGCGATCACATATCTGTTTTCTCACCCTCTCTCTTCCCTTTTTCTTTTCTTATAGAAAATGTGAAATCCCATGTTTTCGTCTTCTTATTGCAGCCCATAGCACTCCTCTCACTTTCCCAAGGGATCCAGATTTCTTTTAAACCCAAATATTGACATAACCCAACTGCCAAGAGGAAGAGATTTAACCGTACCTCCCCTCAATTAACTGACTTGGGCTCTGTTGTTTGTTTTTTGCCTTATCACATACTTTGCTTGATAAGCTCTCTCGAATTACAGATGAGGAAGAATAAAGTAATTTACCCAAAGTCAAAAGCTACTTAGCGACTAAGCCAGTTCTATATCCTGAGTCCCTCACTCCCAGTTTTAAGCTATTTCTGGGCTGTAGGGTTAAACATAAATAAGAGATCCAAAAAAAAAATAAATAAAATAAATAAATAAATAAATAAATAAGAGATCCCTCTGTTTCTACAGCATTTTATAGTCTTTCAAAGTATTTAACTATACTTTCACTATCCTCACAATATTCCTGTAAGGTAACCAAATCAGCTACTAATCCTATTTTAGATTAAAAAAAAAAAGACTCAAAGAAGATGAGCAATTTGCCTAAAGTCATACAGTTAGTTAGAGGAGAGCCAGGATGAGAGGCTAGCTCTTGTCATATCTGTGGAAGCTGAACCTTATAATGGTCCTGAAGGTGGTAACTCTCCTAAAGCCTAGAGGTTACTCCTGGAAAATGAGGCGGCCTGAAAAAAACCTATCTGGGAAATAAATAGGATATAAGTAATAGATGATTTTATTTTTTTCTGCTTTTATATCTCCTTCAATTACTGGAAGAAGCAGGTAGAACCAAGGAGAATATAGGGACTTAACAAATTTGGTCTTAATAGAGTAGCTGGCATTTAACTAACCCTCCTGCCAAAAACAACTGCTAATCTCTCACAGTGTTCTCTCTTTTGTTATCAGTCTTTTTTCTCTGCATCTTTCATTTTGATAGTTTCTATTGCTATGTCTTCAAGTTCACTAATGTTTTCTTTCGCAGTGTCTAAGCTGCTAGTAATCCTATCCAGTGTACTTTTAATTTCAGATGTTGTATTTTTCATATCCAGAGGTTCTATTTTTTTTTTAAACAAAAGAGTCTCTCTCTGTCGCCCAGGTTGGAATGTAATGGCATGATCTTGGCTCACAGCAACCTCTGCCCCCTGGGTTCAAGTGATTCTCCTGTCTCAGTCTTCCAGGTAGCTGGGATTACAGGTGCATGCTGCCACGCCTGGCTAATTTTTGTATTTTAGTAGAGACAGGGTTTCACCATGTTGCCCAGGCTGGTCTCGAACTCCTGAGCTGAGACCATTCACCCACCTCAGCCTCCCAAAGTGCTAAGATTACAGGCATGAGCTACCACCCCAGCCCAGAGTTCTATTTCAAATCTCTTTTTATGTGTTTTCATTTCTCCATCAAACTCATTACTTACTCTACCTTCTTGAACATAATTTAATATATAAGGGATGTATTAAAATACCTATTTTAATCATTTTGTCTTCTAATTCCATTATCTGTGTAATTTCTCTGTTTGCTCCTATTGATTGATTTTTTCTCCCTTGTTATGGGTCTTATTTTATGTTTTATTGCATGCTAGGTAACTTAAATTAAGGTGACAGTTAATATGAGCTTTATATAGTTGAGTACTGGAATTTTTTGTATTTCTTTACATATTTTTGGACTTCATTCTGATATATAGTTAAATTACTTGGAAACAGTTTGAATACTGAAGCTTTTTTATGCTTTATTAGGCAGGTCTATAATAGGCTTTAATCCAGAACTAATTTAGCTCTACTGTAGAGGCAATCCTATTCTGAGATCTTTTCTCAGTGTCCCAAGGGTTAGAAGGTGTTTCCAATTCAGCTAGTAGGTTCCCTGCCTCTGTGAGCTCTGAGGATTTTCTACCTGCTGTTGTTTCATAGTTCTTTTCCAGA